ATTGGCCAATCTGTTCCTCTCCACTCTCTGGAGATGTTGGGCAATGGAGAGAGTGAACTCAGGCTTTTTTGTGGTTGTTTTTTTTAAAGAGCTTCCTTTGTACAATTAAGAAAACAATAGAAATGCTTCCTTCTATATCTTAAAGCTACTGATGACCAATAGAGGTCATCGTAAGGAACCTTCTATAAGAATTACATGGGTCTGCCTGAGCCAAGTCGGGGGTAACACTTGTTAAGTTGGAACTGCCCGTGAGACATCAGGTGCTAAAACACAAGGCAGGCCTGCCTGGAGCTAGAGACTTGGACACCCTGGGATTACAGATGGCATTTGGAGCCACAGGAGTGGGTAAAAGTATCTAGGCTGAGTGTGTAGAGTCCTCATTTTATCTCAATCACCAGTTTAAAGAGCCTGTCTCCAAATACTGTCACATTCTGAGGTATTGGGGGTTAGAGCTTCAACATATGGATTTTGGGGGACACGATTCAACCGATAACAATGTCCATAAAGAAACAGAGATTTAGGAAGTCGAACAACTTGCCCAGGACAGGCAGCTACAGTGTCAGAGCTGGGATGCAAATTCAAGCCAAGTCGGCTGCTGCACCAGAATGCCAAGCATTCTCCTATAAGACAGCCCTGCGCCTGGAAGGCTGGGGATGGACAGGAAAAGTCTTTTGGAGAATTTAAAAAAAAAAAAAAAAAAAAGGCTAACCAGAATAAAGGAGTAATATTATCAGGCTTTTCAGAACTCGGAGCTGAATATTCCAGAATCCCCAGGATGGACTAGACTTGCATAGGTTCCCTTTTTAAATCTGAGCTTCAAGCAGAAAGACTGTGAATTTTAGCCAAAATGGCAGGAAAGGTAAACAATTTAGCATCAGCTAAAGCCTGTCTGTAGTTCCCTTTTTGGAGAAGCCAGGCTATCGGCTGAGGAGGGTGCCACCTGCTGGGCTGAAAAGGACCTGGGTGGGAACCCGGCTCTTTCCATGCGTGGTCCCCTCCTGCCCTCTGTCGGCCAGCGGTAGGGACACGCAGGAACCTGCGGGCAGCCCTGCCTCCTGCAAAACCCAGATCTACAGGGAGAGGTGGGAAGAGCCTCCTGGAATCGGACCGTGGAGCACGTCAGTCCCACCCCTCTCCAAACACATGCACACATTTGAATCAATTGGTAGTCATCACACTTTTTGGCATTCTGTGACTGCAGAGCTGTTTTGAAACTCGCTTCAACTGTTTTCATCATTAAAATTTTAAAAACTTGCTACATCTGCTACCTTCTCAAAAATATTTCCCAAGACCTAGGTATATGAGAATTTGCATGCAAGTCTTGATAATTTAGCAAAACACTGGTTTGCTCATCAGTTCATGTTTTCAAAATTATAAAATTTGTACGCTTGGAAAGACTTTTCCCCCAACATTTGAAAACGATAGTTTCCTATGTGATAGCCCAGGGACCCCACCATTTGGTTACAGTATTTTTGTAAAAATAATTGTTTTCATTTTCAAATGTGACTTTTCTTTTTTTAAAAAAATCAGTACTTCCTGCTTTTAAGAAATTCCCTCATATATTTGAGGGAAATGTTCTAAGTAGTAGAATTCCCTTGAATTGAGAAGCAGTAAATAAATGCCAAAAGAAACCACTGATCTAACCAAGAACTCCCAGAATTCCTGGCCAACATGCTGCACAGGATGTGTGGCCTTGGGACCTCAGTGAAATTCAAGATTCAGGCTAGAGGGCCTTCTGCGCCCCTGACTCTTGTGTGAGCCACAGACTCTCTTTATGCAGACATTAGAATGGATATTTAAAATACAAATCAGATGATGGTAGCAGGAGAGGCCAAATGTCACACCTTTGATTTTAAAATAAAATACAAATTCCTTACCAGCTTTCCAAGGCCAAGTGATCTGACTCCTGCAGCCCCTCCAAGTCTGCCCGTGGCTCCCTTTCCTTCCCCTTCAGCTGTTCGCATTTTATTGTTCAAGGCTCTCCCTGTGGCTCTATTTCAGTAATATTTATTTCCTTCATGGCACTTGCTATAATTTATAATCATCTTGTTTATGTATCTGTTGTTCATTTCCTGTCTCCACCACTAGACATCATCCATCAGGTAGGCCTGGTCCATTCTGCAATTTGTTGCATCCCCAATGCCTAAGGAGCATGTATTTATCAATGAATGAGTGAGTGAATGACGTGAGCAAAGGAAGGCGTTGAGAGGTGAGTGACCCCCAAGTCATTCCATGCAGATCACAGTACCGAGTTCCTTCATAAACACAAGGCAGTGCCATCCCTGACCCGTGGCGTGGGGAGCAAGGAGAGGCCAGTGGCTGGGCTCAAGGAAGCAGAGAGATCTGCCCTTTCATCTCTGACTGACACCTGTCACCAAAACCTCTCTTTCTCTACTTAGGGACCGGCAGCGAAGCAGACAGAACCACGAGGAGAGCTGGAGGGAAACACACGCATGCTAACGCATCACACGTAATCACTCAGTCAGTGGTTAGGTACTGATCCAGGGTGCAAGCACCGGCTACTCCACCAACCAGCGACACTTGGTGTTGATCCAATGCCTTCTCCTGGAAAGGGCACCAGCACCGCCCCCGGGCTCACAGCCTTGCCCTTGGGGGGACATATGCACAGTCCCATTTACAAATAGAAAATTAACGAATCCATGGTCAGCAGGCTGCAGAACCACGCTGGGCAGCAGGCCGATGCCCGGCCTTCCAGGGGCCCTGCCTCCCTCCTCCCTGCCAGCACTCGAACAAGGGAAAACACTCAGCACTGTCACTGGTTTCCAATCTGTGGCTTGGGGCAGCTTGAGGAGAGCTGTCCCCAAGAGAGGTAGCTGGTGAGGGCTGAAATGCTTGCGTGGCTCCAGGGAGGCCTGGTCGGACATCTGATGTGCTACTGGGTGGCTGTAAATTCCTTTGCCTTCTGCAGCTTTTCTCCTGGGCAGGAACCCGGCGTCTGACGGTCCGATCCACAGAGGCCCAGCCGGGATGGGATGACCGTCCGATCCACAGAGGCCCAGCCGGGATGGGATGACCGTCCGATCCACAGAGGCCCAGCCGGGATGGGATGACCGTCCGATCCACAGAGGCCCAGCCGGGATGGGATGACCGTCCGATCCACAGAGGCCCAGCCGGGATGGGATGACCGTCCGATCCACAGAGGCCCAGCCGGGATGGGATGACCGTCCGATCCACAGAGGCCCAGCCGGGATGGGATGACCGTCCGATCCACAGAGGCCCAGCCGGGATGGGATGACCGTCCGATCCACAGAGGCCCAGCCGGGATGGGATGACCGTCCGATCCACAGAGGCCCAGCCGGGATGGGATGACCGTCCGATCCACAGAGGCCCAGCCGGGATGGGATGACCGTCCGATCCACAGAGGCCCAGCCGGGATGGGATGACCGTCCGATCCACAGAGGCCCAGCCGGGATGGGATGACCGTCCGATCCACGGAGGCCCAGCCGGGATGGGATGACCGTCTGGGGGCCCCGGCGGCTTGGCCTCAGGGCAGGCTGGCCCGGGGGTCCTTCAGGAAGACGGCCAGCCTCTGGGCCACGGCGTCCAGCTCGGTGGCGCTGGCGCCCTGCAGCAGGTTGCTGGTCCGCACGAAGAAGTGCCGCAGGAAGCGCTGGCGCACACAGCGGTGTAGCCGCCGCGCCAGGCGCAGCAGCCCCGTGCCGAAGGCGCGCCAGTCCCTCGTGCGCGGGTACTTCTCGCACGTCCAGAAGAGCACCATCTGCGGAGGGAGGGGCGGGTCAGAATGCTGGGCGCCGAGGAGACGGTCCAGGAACACTGAGTGCGCGTGCCCGGGGAGGAGGCAGGGAAGCGCCCAGGCCCGTGGCTCTGCCCTGAATTCCTGATCCTGGCCTTGTCCTGATCCCCGGCCTTGTCCTGATCCCGGCCTTGTCCTGATCCCCGGCCTTGTCCTGATCCCGGCCTTGTCCTGATCCCCGGCCTTGTCCTGCGGGTCTCCGAGGCCTCTTCGTTCGTTCATTCCCTCTCCACTCACATGGCTAATGATCACGACTCGCCTTAAAGCTGATTCCGCACTCCTGGCAGGTGCCTTTGCCTCTGCTCCACAGGGGACGTGGAAACCCTCCTGCCCGCAGGCCAGGCAGCTCTGCCCACAACAGCGCCCTCCCTGCCTCTTGG